TGATTGGACAATAGTTCTCCACAAACAACACATTTCGGTCGAGAGTCCATTTCATCTCCATTCTGAGTAAAGCCAAATGATAAATAATTTTCATTATATTTTCTATAAACAATTTTTCTTTCTTTTCAGTATTCCTAGTGCTAGAAGGTTGTCGTAAATGCATCACCCTATGAATCATCACTTTTCCATTTGGTCAATCCCAACCATTTTTGCATTTTGAAAAATCTATGTTTGTTTTATTATTTTTCACAAATATTTAAATGCACACTATATTATGAGTCCTTGAAAAACAAACGATGATATTCTCAAATCGCATAGAAAAGTAAGGAATAGAAAGGAAAAAGAAAACAAAATACCTGCAAATAGTAATAAAATTACTGAAAAAGAAGTGTTCCGAGTATGATATACACGAAATAGTTCTCAAAATGTGTTCTAAAATATTTAGAAACATGATTCAAATATATGAATTATTGTAATTTTTTTAAACCGTATTCATTAGGAATAAGTTCACAAGAAGAAAGTGGACTGTATTTCTTATTTAACACAACACTTTGAAATAGAAGAAATGCCGTCCATGTGACGACACAGCATTTTATGCACACATCACTCAAAACACCATAGCAATAAAAAATAAATACTTAACTCACATGTTTGAAAGGTTCATTCCCATAGCAACCATAATTGAATCATCAGGCAGTAGCACCATCTATTGTTGCAAAGACACACTAGAAATTTGTTTGGTAACAAAAAATACTAAACCCATATTGAGAACTTTTTTAAACATTGTATAGTATTTTATTTTAAATATGCATTGTTATTGCATTTAGGTCTGTATCCAAAGAAGCAGATTTGCATGAGACACAGAAAATGGAGCAGATTGTATATAGGAAATATTTTCATATAAACTTGTATAATTGAGATATTTTCACATATGCATAGTTTTTTGCCCCCCCCCCTTTCTCACCATATGTGACCTATTTCTCTGGAAGCTAGACATTATTTTCCGTTGAATGGCTTCTTAATCTGAAAATTTACATTTTTTGACCCAACAGTCTATTACAGTAAGAGTAATAATTAGATACATAGAAGATGGCTACTGTTGCAGATTTCTTGTAATTGTTATTGATCCTACCCTCTGTTATGCAGTTATTAAGAATGTGACAAAAAGTGCTTCAAAAATGGCAAATTTTTTAGAGCTTTGCTCTTGTGAGTGAGCAAAAGCAAAGGATTAAAGTTTACAATTGTGTTTATGTCGCAATGAATATATCAAATCGACTCAAACCATTCTGCTGATATCACAAGCATATGTGAGCTGTATCATGCTTTAGTACATACGCTGCTTGTTAAGGCCATAAACATATATATTTGATTCTTGTGTAATTTTATTAAAAACTGTTTGATAAACATACTTATTTTGTTGCTTAAAAAAGAATGAGGAAAGAACAGCCATGTTTAGTTGCTTATTTTTCAGTTCCTTTAATGATGAAAGCTAATAAATACGAAGACTGTGTGAAAGTCAAATCTCTTTTTAAGGCTATATTATCGTTTTTTCCCCCTTCTTTTTTGGGGGGGGTGGTAAAAGAAAAATGATAATTCTGTTATAAACACAAAGCTTTTATTTTCATGATTAGTGGTTGAAACATTGTATTCTAGTTGCAAAGAATTCTTTGTTTTAATCAATGTTTACTATTTTTCCATTATAGCATCTGCTGTGTTGTATGCATGATGGATTCTAAAAGGAAAAAAAGTTGTCCAAGTGTTACAAAATGTGTCATTTGCATCTACTAATGGTAGTTCAAATTACAATATGAGTTCTTAAAAATAACAGTGTTTATCTATGCTACAATATTAGTCAAAACCAAATTTTTTTATCATTATTGCCATTGTTGGAATTCACCAATAATTCAGCGGAAGGAATTTTCAGTGTATTGAACAATGATTTAACTCGGAAGTATATTCCTTAGGGAAAGTATGTCATCTTGGTTTATGGTAATGCAAATACCATAGTATGCAGTGCAGAAGGAGTTACTCCTTTCATTAGCAAATTTCAACCACCTATACTTATGCAAAGATGTTCTTGACATTTTCCTTATGTAACTCTTCAAAATGCCTCAAGTCATGGACTTAAATGTTTAATAACTTTTGATTCAGTTATATTATTTTCTTCAGAAAAGCTCAGACTAAGTAAAATTCTTTCAAATTGTGTGAAGCTGTGTTTTGAACTAAATCCTCACAAAATTTTAAAATGCAAGCATTCGCTGCTCTTCCTTTTTAGGTTGATTACAGAAAATTAAGCAGTTTGAAGCTTTAGAGCATTTTGTTTCTAGTAAAAATGCTCCTTTTTCCAAGTCATGCGTTTTAGCATATAAGTCACAAATGTAAACTTGACTATCTGTTCTTCATTAATGCCCTTCCATTTTTTATTTCTACTCATGTGTTTCTTCTAGAAGAAATTCCCCAAATACAGGTTCTCCAGAGGAAACTTATTGCCCATTTCACAGATTAATGAGCCTTTAGGGCCAATAATGCTGATGCATCAATTTTTTGTGTTGACTTTCACAGCATGCAAAACCAGAGAAGTGATTTTGACCAGTTAATCAGTACTAAGATCAGAGATTATATTTTTGAAAGGAAATTTATAGCTTCACAAATAAATCAGTTTCATTCCAGTTTAAGAGAATTTTACGAAGCAACTAAATCTACAATAAGTTCCCACCAACAATGAGTTTTTGAACCAAAACAACTATAGGATTTTTTTAAGATGAAAGGTTTAATTTTCTATTCAATAGGTTGCATTTGTCAAAAACCTGACTATTCGTGTTTACAAATTGAGTTTAAAGCTTAACTACTAGTTCTCTGATTTTGATGAGAATGTGCTTGCTGTTTCTTGAACTGATGTAGCATGGCATGTTTCAAGATTGCAAGATAAATATGTGTGGATCAGATCTGGAGAACTTAGCAAAGTAATGTTGACTGTTTATTTAGTATCTCGCACCACTGAAAGGATTTTCAGCATTGTACACAGAGGAATCAAACTTAATTTAGACCAAATTAATTCATGGACATAATGAATCCACTTCTTGTGCAGACAGAAATCATTTACTCTCTGTGCTGTTTGCTAAGAAAATACATTTAGTTGAGAAGAGTTTGCTGCAGCAAAACGTGTAGTAAAAATGGCAGATCAGGGATTGTAACACAGGGAAATGTATCTTAATTTTTCAGTCTTTTGTTTCTTGTGCAAAATTATATATAATATATACCTTATATACATTCATTTTATGTGTTGAAAAAGCCCCCTTTTTTTTGTGTGTGTGTGTGTGTAATTTGGGTAACACTTAGGTGTTGCAATTATAATTCGTTATGTATTACTGTTGCCCTTCTGAAAGACTGGCATTTCTATTATATCTACTAAGTTCAGAAAAGTATTTGAACATATACTTTGATATAATGATAAGAAGTTCCTCCAAAATAAGTGGCCTTTGATGTAGTATTGTGATTACTAGAATCTGAGGTGAACTGTATGCAAGGTGATGGATGGAATTTGTCATATTCTTGTATTCTCGCAAAATATCACCCAGTTAGGCTAAAACTGATGGAAGCATATGCCTCAATTTCACTCATTGATTTAGTTCATTCTACAATAAGGTTTAGTGAGTGCTTGGTTTTGGTACATTCAGTTTGTTTAAACATTGTATCCTTATGCTACACATTGCTTAAGGGCCTTAAAAATCTGAGATGAAGACCTAATGTTTTGAACAAAATATCTATATAGCATTAAAATTAAATATCTCATTAAAAAGCTAACCGTGCTGAATTTTAAAAAGAATTACACTACTTTATTTCAGCATAAAAAAAGTTTTTATCCTTTTTAGACATCTAAGGTTGAACAGTTTTTGCCAACTTTTGCACCTTATTGCTTTTTTTCAATTTCTGCATTTTCTATCATTTCTTCTTTTTTAATGTTAGAAATATCCTAATCACGATTTATTTATTTCTACACCATAGTATAACATGGGACCATGCATTTATCATTACTCAGCTTGACAAGTGTTTTTGTAAGAAACAAATGTAACTTACCATTTTGTTTCTTACAAAAACACTTGTCAAGCTGAGTTGTCAAGCATAGAATCAAATGGTTCTTCTCTTTGGTTATCCCTCCAAATTAGTATCTTTTAACCAATTCATTTTGGGACTTGCATTATACTGTAATGCATTTTTAAGCCTTGATTGCATATTTCCAGATGGGTAGTTTGGACAATTACTGAACAGTGAAGTAAGGGTGCCTCTGACTGTAAATGAGTTTCAAAGCCAGAATCACTGCTAGAATTGTAAAAAAGCTGATTAATGTAATATTGGTAAGGAACTTGTCAGTGTAATATACTGATGTAATAACTGCATGTAAGTGCAAATGCATATCTTCATGAAAACCTCCTTTATAGGAAACAAGTTATAGGAGAATGACTTTGTTAGTGATTAGTTCACAGTATTCCTCATATCTGACTCTGCATTTGAAACATATATATTAAATCTTGGTCCGTATTTTCCTCAATGTTTAATCATCTTAGCTTTGCATGTAGCACTTTCAGTACTATAGGTATGAACTTTTGCCCATTTTAAGGCACACCCTAAAGATGTTAATAGACAATATCCTATTAACCTCTTTACCTGCTCTTAGTTGTCATAAATATAACTTTATGATTTGACAAGAATCTGTCCAATTCCTGTGATGCATTTTCTGTATTTTAATGGAAAAAAAAAAAAAAAAAGCCATAATGATCTTTTACTGAGTTAGTCCTTACTTGAAAACCTGTTTTCTGGAAGTAAAATACATGTTTTTTACCATGTGGCCATGCTATATTTATTTCTTAATTGCAGTAATATTTCATTAAAGTGTTATTGAAGGCCTTGTGTGTTAGCTTGGTATGAAAAGAATAAAGAAAACAAATTTATTACTTGTATTGCTTCAAATAAATAAATGTAAACTTATTCTTATTTGATAGGATCAAGCAGGGTGTACTTCACCTACTGAAGATCTAGAAGCTGCTATATTACAAATTTTACGAGCTAGCAAGGATTTAAAACAAGAGGTATTGCTTATTTAGTTATCTTAATTTAGAAACTTATTTTCTAAGTTATTTTATATAAAAAGATCAAGTTACTCTGAATTTAAAGTGATGCAAATGTGTAGAAACGAAATAAAAATGTGAAATATTTTTTTTTAATTGTGAAAGACATTATACAGCTGTAAAAATGTATGCACCATGCATAGTAAACTTTTTCAAAGTAATTTTAACTGATCCCTTAACCTTTTTATTGAATACATTGTGAACTTCTTATGCTTTATGTACCTCCTTGAAAAGTAGTAACTGCCTTGCCTGTTGCATAGATTTTGAATACTCTAATTATTAATATATGCAATAATAACAGTAATAAAATTAAACTTGTATATGTGTGTCTATATATATATACAGAGAAAGAGACATGCTGTCAGTACTACAATTTTTAATATAAGCAATAATAATAAGAAATAAATCGTGTTATGTATACTGAAAGAGAAAGGGGTTAAGTTTCTTATTCATTAATTACGAATATTGATAAACATAAAAAAATGGTTTAAACGGTTAAACAAATTGTATGAAATTATAAATATTTTACTATATAATCATTGCGATGTTTGCACATCATTGTTCATCAATTAAGATTATGTTTTAGGTAAAATCACTAGTCATCTTCAGAGAATATCTTTATTTTATGTTTTGGGGCATTTAAGTAGGAAAAATGAATCTAAGGAATTAATCAGCAACATTGTTTCCACAGGATGCACATAATATAAGTTAAGAACTACATTAATGTTAATTGTCGCAAAGCATATGAAAACTGTGGAAATGAGCAGTATTTGTCAAGAATGTTCTTTTCATGTTTAAATAGGAAAGGTTGAACTCTCAATATTTTTGAGAAAAGTATGTCCATGCGTCTGACCATCCAAAAGTACTTTTTGATAAAACTTTAGCTGCTAAAATGCCATAGGTAAACACATAAAAATAAGTAAAATATAGTGGTATTAAGCATTTTAAGCAACTTTCTGAAGCATAAATTTCTTTTAAGTGCTAGTTGAGCAAAATTTTATTCGGCATTTCTAAAAGAAAGTCATTTCATAAAACAGAATGAGAGGATTTAAAGCATAATTATATTTTAATTTATTGATGCACAAAAAGTAAAACAGATCAGCAGGTAAGTTTAGAATAACCTTCCTTAGATAGAATGTATTTGAAAAATTTATTAGAAAAATAAATTAGTACTTTCTTAGAATTATTTTTTCAATTGAATTGATTCTTAAGAAAATATATACGTACGCTTTCTTCAATAGCCCTCTCTTTAGTAGGCACATGCATGATCATGAAAAACAGACTGGATCAAAGGCAAAAGATGTTAGGAAGTGGCAAAATGCCAGTTATACCAGGCAAAGGAGTGATAAGTCATTTATATTGTTTTGTACTCATCAAACCATAGACATCTTTATGCACTCTGTAACATAAAAAGCAACACAGCAAGGAGTTATCTGAATGAGACAAAATTACATATGCCCATATCTTACAATAGAATATGGAAATGATTAATGCATCACAGATGGTTTTGAAAATAGTATAAGCAGATGTCACCATTTGAGAGAGGACATGCAATTGAACTTAAGGGAGCAAAGTCAAATTGCAGGATCACTAGACTAAGGTTACAGCAGTGCTACCATTCAACAGTGTTAACAGGAATGGATGAACCAGAGCATCAAGAAGGGAGTAGTCAACTGAAAATAATAATAAAAGGTGATAACAGGGTGATCATTTGATCGCTCCTCGCAGCCCCTGATGTGCCTTTATCAACAATCCGACTTGCCACAGGGGCATTGACAGGCGACTCGGTGATCAGGAGCTGAAGTCACAGAGGCTATTGCTCTAACTGTCCCAGTCTGTTGCACACCAACAGGCACATTTGACTTGAGATCTTGCATACTGGAATAGAATTGTTTTCAGCGATGAGTCCACTTTGCTGGTAAGGTATCTGATAACCAGCAAAGATATATCTGGAGAAGTTCAGGGCAGTGATGGGTTACTCACCTGACTGTTGTCTGCCTGACAGCCTGACACCCAGGAGTTATGATATGAGGTGCCATTTCATTTGATTGCTAAACCCCTTTGGTTGTCATGCATGATACGCTTATAGCATGGCAGTATGTCAACAAGATTCTATGCTCCATAATATTGCCCTTCCTTTCATCAACCCCTTGCCTTTCAGCAGGATAATGTACAACTGCACTTGGCATCCCTTTCTACTGGTTGTCTTCATGCATTTCCTACACTTCCTTGGCCAGTGCGATCAACATGTATTTCTAATTCTTTTGGGCTCTGATAAGCAGGCATTTATGAATTGTGGCAATCTAACTGGGCAGTTGGAACATGTACGGCAAGCAGTCTCGCTGGAGGACATCAGCCAAGTCTGCGAGTCAGTGCACAGCTGCATAACAGCTTTTGTCAAGGCTGGAAGTAAAGCAATGTATTATTTATTACTGAATAAAATGATAGTTTCTATGGTACTGCTAGTGTTCCATTTTCAATTATATGTGCATCACAGCTACCATTTTTTTGTCCCATTCATGTATCTCCTTAGTGCATCACTTTTTATGTTATAGAATGTATTTATGACTCAGGTTTCTTCAGGTTATGCATTACAGGATTGCATATTGTTGGTAGTAAAATTAATACTTCACATTTCAGAAGAAGAGCTTTATCTGTTGATGTGCTCAGAAATAGCAATTTCTGTTTCTGGTACTGAAAATGGGTCTTATCATGAGGCAGGAACAGTATACGAGTAATATGTTTTAAGTCAGCCGATATATTATTTGTATAGTTGGACTTTAATCCAACAGAAAATGTTTGTATAAATCTTAAACAGAAGATGAATAAAAAATACAGCTAACTGAAGCTATGCTTTCATGCTGCTGTGTTCATGAGGCTGAGGAAACTTGCATCGAGATGTGCTTTGTTTATTAAAAATAAAGGCAATTTAGAGAAACTGTTTGTATTCATACACATATCTAATGTAGCATGGCTTCATGAAGAGTTGTTTGACTGCGTGTGATAATTTTAATTTCCCTTTCCTAATTTTAAAACTCGCATTGTCATTTAAGACATAAAATAATGCTAATTTTAAGTTCCTCTCTGCCTTCTCAACCGTGAAACATGGAACTCGAGTGAACGTGAAACGAGGAACATTTTAAATCTGTAAAAATTCTGAATTCTTTATGATATTGTCATCAATATGATATACTGTTTATATCATTTGGTATTAACATTATTTGCGAAATGGGTTCAGGTGCTCAAAATACAGATTTACATGATGTGTTGCAAGACCAAATTATAACTCCAAGTTTAAAGTGCATGTCTGTTTATTTTGCACTTTGTATGAAATTAAAATATGGAGGACATAGGAGAATCCATCTTTTCATTTCTCTAATATTGTTGACATATCCTGAACTATTAACACTTTTTTTAAGTTGATAAAAATTTGATAAGTATTCTCTGTTACAATGTTAGATCAGAATAAGTATCAGTGTCTTTAAGTAATCCTTTTAATCATCTTTTTCTGTACAAAGTCGTTAGGTGTTACACATACAGAATTTATAATATAAAAAAGTATATCATATGCTAATTCAACCCTACTGTCTTTAGTTTATTTGAATTTAGTCTTCTAAATTTATTGGTTTATTCATATTTTGTTTCTTTTAATGCTTTGAAAATTTTTTCATTGAATATTGTAGTGTGAGAGTTCAATATTTTGTTCATATAGCTTCAGGATGCTGCTCTAGATCAAGCTCAAGAATTGGTGAAGCTGTTTGATGAAGTGCATATTTTAAGTTATCTTAAAACTTCTGCTATTGCTGGTGACAAAGATAAACTGGAAGAATTTTCTGAGAAGTTCTCGGAATATGCTGAACACGTGCAAGATGTAAGATGCCTTTCATATATTGCTGATCCAACATCTTCACAGCATGCTAAGCAGTTGAATTGATCGGTATCACTGTATAAAGTAGTAACAATTTCTTTTTGAGTCAAAACTTCCTTTTTCTGTATATTTCTTGAATATCTGAAATTGTCAAATTGGTAAAAAATGCAAGAAACTACCTTTTTGTAAGAAAATACTAATTTTTTCCCTCTAGATTTCTTAATTTATAAAATCTGCAAATGTGTGAAAAATAATGTTTCAGTTAAAAAATCCCAACCATTTTTTTCTATAGCAGTGGAATACAGGCAGATGTTGAATTTAAAGGAGTAAAAGTTATTTGAGGCTAAGTTCAGTTGTCAATGAGTTAAAATAAAACAGAAGCTTCTTATTTGGTTTTTGATCTGATGAGCTTCAGGGACAGTAGTTGAACCTATTTTAGATATTAATCCTTTATTGGCACAATATAATGAGGAACAACTTTACAGCCATGATGATACACAACATGTCTTAGCTACATTCTGATCATTAACAAAAATTTAAAACAATTGTAGCGTATCAGCATTATCCATTGGCCAGAATTTGCAACAGGTGCAGTATATGTTTTTCATCATGAATGGACTGCTTAACTACTGCCATGTTCGATAGGTTAATAAGTCAAATTGTCAGCTACCTTACATTTGTCATTTTTGGAAACCTTTGAACTTACAAAATTCAATAACAAAGTGATTTTCTTACTACTTTACACATACAGAAGTTATATTTTTCTGACTATAATATTTCTTGTATTTCGATCTGGAATATAATTGATTTAGTAATAACCGAGTCTGTGTAGTTGTTTTAAACTACTTAAATATAGTTTCAAATGGTGTCATTCTTTTGTTAGTAAAATATAGACATTTTGTTTAAACGTGCCATTTTAAATATATCATTTTTTTTTTTATGTGTAAAAGACAAAATGTGTGTATTTTCTTGTTTTTAAAGTTGGTGTGATTATATCGCTCTAAATTTAGCTGCATTAAAAAAATCTAATAAATTATTGTGTAAAGTATTCATAATTTAGTAAATACTCAGTGATCAAGATGTATCAGAACTGGGGCTAAAAAATATCTATACTATTTACTGTATTCTCCTTCAAAATAGTCACCTTATGAAGTTATATACGTTATCTAAAGTTCTTGCTGTGCTGAAAGCAGTTCCATAATTCTTTTTCTGAGATAGTAAGCAAGTCGTGTGTTCTGTTGAATTCCATTTTTAATATCTGCCTCCTTTTAAGAAGTATTTGATTTTTCTAAAGAGGAAAGAGTTACAGTGGGCATTGAGGTCGCTGTTAAACCTGAGGAGGGGCTTTTGTTTAGCTGAAAACTATTGTTGATTCAGGCCTGAATGAGTAGGTGCATTGTCATGGTGAAGTATCTCTATTCACCAGATACATACAATTCCCATCTTTTTCAATGAAAGTTGCATCCCATAAACATTACAACACTTAACTATAATACCCTATAATTACTGTTTAGCCTGATGGAGCATATTCGTGATGAACAGCGCTCTTTCCCTTCACTGTTGTATCAATTGTATTGTTCGGGAGTTCATCCTTGAAATTGGATACTAGTCATAGGAAAAGAAAAAAAATATCCAAAATTCACAATAGGCATTCGGTCTTTTACAAGATCTGCTCTTGCCCAGTATGTTTAACATCAGCCGTATTCAAGAAATAAAAACAGTCACCAAATTTAGTGCCAATATTGGATAAGCGTGACCTCATTAATTGTCAATAAGCTGATTTAATTTTTGTTAATTAGAATGTAAATTAATTGCTGTTATCAGTTTCCTCTCATAATTTGAGAAAATAATTAAATTTTGGTACCTGCCTTCAACGGAACAAACAGCATGCAGTGAAGTATTTTCAAAATTATGAGATTGTGGCATCAGAAAGAATGGCATTAATGGGGACAATATGTAACTTTATTTTAACTAAGGTAGTGCAATGTTAAAAAATTATGGAAAACTGTTTTTATAGATATCTCTGTGCATTATCCAGTTTAAAGAGCAATCTGTTCTTTCAAATTATTGCTAGAATAACTGGTGAAAGTTTGACAGTAACTCCTACTTTAATGTTTGATGGAATTTCATAATTCGATAAGAGGCTTTACTTTCATATATTTAAAGCCTGCAAAGAGGGGGGAAAACACCGGCTTTTATGTCTGAAATGCATTTTTTTTCCTCTGAAATCTTACATAATTTTAAATTTAGGTTTTTGATACTGAAATAGATTAGAAAATAAGATGACTTCTTTTACAATATTGACTGTAAGTTTCGTCTATCCATTTGACTTTTGTAGTGTGAATTACATTTTTTTACACTCAACTGTCTCCAGAATTATCACATATTCAATATTCCACAAGCTTTCCAGATCGTTGAGCTTTTACTGTACGGTCAAGATCTTGTACAACTGCTGCAATCTCCCAAAAGCAATTTTGGGACAGATTTTCATCATGTATCCAAATCTGCTATAAGAATGGGTTGCACTGAAATGTAACTAATGTTGAGTTCTTCATGTATCTCAGAGACTGTGATCCAAATATTTTTTGCATGGTTAAATGGACACCTTCAATGTTTTTCTTTGTTTTACTGCTGATTACAGGTCTCATGGGGCATCATCACTTTCAAGACAATTTCACTTCTTGGAAAGGTTTAAATATTATAGTTCAAACCTTTCCAAGAAGTCTAAATATCTGACTTTTGATAAATTTGGTGCTAATTCTCTGCTTAACTTTCACCGCCATGATGAAGGGAACATGACACTTTGTTCAAAGCACTCTTGTAAAAGTGAATTGAGCTAAGGCATTATAATGAAAGATGCATATGAGGCATGATCTCTGCTTTCCTTTGCATGTTTCCACTCATTACTGATCGCCAGTCACAATGCATTTCGATCCCATGTCTTATATAGCAGTTTTGTTCTCATAAGTCATCTTAACCAAAAATGAGCTTCATTAAAATTATGTTCTTTCCTTTTGTCAGTTTTATAGTCTAGTTTTTCCCCCGGTAACTAAGGCTTTCATCTTGACAAAAATCTTAAAGATTCTTATTGTGAAAATATGAATTGGCACACACAATATGAATATCAAATTGGATATTGATAAATGCTTTGATGGTCATGAATAAGCTCAGCTCACATTCCAGTTATGCATCGCAGTGGGCGTAAATGAAGTGATGAAGCAAGCAGGCTATATATGAAAATTTCATTTAAGTAAGCTAATTTAGTTTTAAACTTCGAAAACTTTTTTTAAGTTCACAAAATTTAGTTGGTAGGTATCGTCACTTTCTATCTTTTGCCATTTAATGAAACTGTTTTGAGTTCTTATGATTTAATAAAAGGTGTAGTTTCAATATTAATTTGAGATACAAAGTAGAGTCTAGTTAACAGTTTTAAATATGGGCTTGTGAAAAGATAGAAAATTTATATTTCTTATTGTTATCAGTATTAATATTATGGTAAAGACAATGTTCTAAATTTTTAAAAACTGAGCTGTAAAATATATTTTGAAATTTCAGGCGTGTAAATTGCTGCATCATGTTGCCAGCACAGAATCTTTACAAGTTACTTCAAAGCACACCGAAACTTGCCTGAAAGTCTTTGTAACCCAGGTAACTACATACTGATTTTTTTGCCCGTCTGTTTAATTAATCTTCTAATTAACTAATTTATTAGTCACTATTCCTTAAACATTACTGTGTTGATGAGTTATCATCGTAAGTTTAAACGGACTGTAAAAGCAACAGACATACAAAAATGTATAATATTAGTTTTCATTTTCTCATCACTTATGAGTTAACTTCATTTAATACCAACATAAAATCTAAATCTCTCTGGCTTACTGCTTCTGGCTGGTATATACCACAGTTTAACTGCTTATAACAACAGTGCTGCTACTTTACAAATAATATCATGGTCAGACAACCTATTTTGCTAAATTTCATGCTTAATCAATTGTGCTGAACATCCAGCAATCACTGTAACAGTGGCACCTGCAAGGCAAGACGGCAGCAATAGCCTCTGTTACAAGTGATGCTGCTTATGTTTCTTCTGAATTTAAACTATGCTGCTTACCATAAAATTTGCACAAACCTCTGGACTTAGTGAGCATGTGAGTAAACAACAGATCAGGCACCCAAAAATAGAATTACATTGTTACTTAAGTGAAATGTTACATTAGTATGAAAGCTGGGAAATGTAAGTTTTTTCTATATTTTTCTCATATAGCTTTTTCTATATTTATAGATGCAAAATATGCTTTTCCTCCTTCATGAACTAGCCTTCAATGCAAAATACTTTTAGGGTCAAATTTATTCCCTTATTTGTGTAGTGCATTCATGCATGATTCAGTTAGCAGTTAAACTCTACAATTTACATTAAATTGTGACTACTTAGCATAACAATATCCTGTTTACCTGAAATATGGCTTTCATCTAAATTTCCTACTTTTCAATTAATAGCATTATCTCAAACAAATCAGTGATCAAATAATGCTTGCTTATCCATATGGTTTTATATGGAACAAGGAATGTGTTTATTTTGTGGGAGTACATGTAACTTCTTCAATTTAAATTACTCTGAGAAACAGATAACATTTTAAAAAGTAGTTAAAAATAGTTGCACACTAAGTATCGTTTGAACATATTGTCATAGACTTATTTTTCCAGTTTAACAATGGAATAAACCATGTCTGGGTTGGTCAGAGGATCTGGATGACCAATACATGAAGTAAATATCCTCACTTTCCTGATAATCATCAACCAACTGAGCATTCTGTGGACGAGCAGCATCATCCATTAACAGAAACCCAGTACCAACTGCACTCCTAAAAAGTCAAACGATAAGATCTCCTCTCTGTACTTCATAGCAGTCAGGGAACTTTTGTCAAACACATGCAGGTGTGTGTGGCCAATCAACATATGGCCTACCCAAACCATTATTGCTTCACTGTCAGAATATTCCTTTTCCCTGATGAAGGAAGTGTGTGTTCCATGCTCTCTTCAAATGCAAGTACACTGAGAATCACTGTCCAGCAGAATCTCTCCTCATCTGTAAAAAGCATGGTGTTCCACTGAAGTCTGGTCCAACATGCATACTTTTTGCACCATGCTAAATGTTCTGTCTTGTGTGCTACAGTGCACAAGACACAAACAGCAGGTCTTCTGGCATGCAGCTTTATCTCATGAAGCCTTCAGGCAACTGTAAACCATAGAACTAGGGTTCCTATGACAGCCTACAGCTCATGGGAAAGCTGGGAAGCTGTTGTAGACCTCTGTTGCCACACTGAAACTGCCAAATGATAACACTTAGTCATCGTTGCAGATCTTGGTCAACCTTATCCAGGTTTTCTTGATATGGATCCAGTGCCCTGAAACTGTTTCTACAAATTGCAGATGACACTGGGTGTTGCATTGAGCTCTGGAAGGCACCTGTGCTTGGCTGCTTCCAGTCTGCCGACAAGTCTCCATCTCATTCAATCATCCATGGGTTCATGGTTGCTCCTATTACCTGATACCTTATAAAATTTACCCGACTCTTGCGAGAAACATAGTGAATGTCATGAATGGGTTTGAGCACACAAATTATCGAAAGCCCCTCATGTACTTATATTCTTGCCGCAACTACAGCTCTGTAGGCATGCATGTATATAGTTATGTATTCGACTTTGAATGTTTGCGTAATTCTTCAGCAGCAGTAGTAGCATTGATTCAATACTTTTTTGTAAAAGAAGGCATACTTTGCAAATTTTCTTTATTCTGCACCCAAGTATAGTTTCTTAGGTAAATAAATGCTGATGAAGTTTTAGAGCTTGAAAGGAATAGTCTCAAAATCTTATGCATCTAAAGTTGATGCATTAGGGAGTTTTGTTTTTATAAGAATATCTTTAACATAACATAAACTGTACTGAAAGACCTCTCAAAGCTATGAATAATTTAAAGAATTATATCAATTATTTAAATTGAGGAAGGGAAGAGTCATCTGTTACTAATTTCTTCTGATAGTTTTTTTATTCAGATAAATACATAAATCAAAGTATTCAAATTTTTAGTTGTAATATCCATGTGTATTGAAATTTTATTTAGAATAATTTTACATTTAATATTTAAATTCAGTACTTAATATCAAAAGTTATTTTTAAATATTTGTTTTATTTCTCCATGTCGCTGGATAAATTTGTAGTTAGTTTTATTCTAAGTCTATCCCTACATATTAGGTAATCCTGTTTATGGAACTTTGCCATGTCCCTGTCTGATGAGAAAGCTTGACTATATGTTAAGAGATGAAAATTGCTTTCTTGTGTAATTATTAGCAGTCAACCTTTAAATTTAAGTAATATAAAATAATGTATATTATTTACCATGACCTGTGCTGTGGTAAACAAAAGATAATTACATCTTTTTGGTTAGTTTTATCTAATGTAGTTCATTCTGTATATCTTGAATGTTGTAATAATGTTTAAATAACTGACAGTTACAATCAAACAGGTACTGAATGCTTGCCGAACAGTGTCGGTGCATCCATTATGTGAAATATCTAAGGAGAATCTGGATGTGTTTTTAGAAATGTGGAATTTACTGACACAAGATGTTTTGTCTATGTACAAAGAAATAAGTGAGCTTTGTAATCGTGATGTTCGTTACAAAACTGCGTACATGTCTTTGCCAAGGCCAGGTGTAAGTACTTGCTTTGTTGATTGCAAAAGCTTAGTTCATTTTTTTACAGCCTAGTTATGTATGTTATTAAACTTATTAATTTTTGTCAATTAAAGAGATATAAGAGGTATTAAACAAAAACAAAACAGCTGTGTTTTCTCTGTTATTGCATGTTCCTGCTAAATAAGTGCAAAATAGTGTACCCTCAAAAACAAATGTTTTTTAAGTAGCTATTTAGTTCTAAATTATTGCAACTATAATAATTTGTTTATTGTTCATTTTGTGTGTAGTATGAATAAAGTTGACAGTGGGCCCTTTTGAAAATGTAACTGGTTATTAGCATTTTTCTGTCTAAAAGATTGAAAGAGAACAGGTACATAAACAAAACTTCTTAATTGTCTGCCAAAAGCAACTAGAAAGCAAAATAATGTTTCTAGGATCATTTAATAATCCTATTAAGCTTAACAGTTTTTTGCACATTCAGTGGAACTGCATTTAAATAAAAATATATGTTTAACTCATTTTCAGAAATAACTTATTTATAGCCCTGACCATTATTTAATATACTGCCAGTAGAAAGTTGTATTTTTAGTGAAAGTTGCATCCTTGTTAAACTTCAACATGTATTGAATATTTTTTGCATTAAAATATAAAGCTGGGAGTTTCACACTAGCTTATATATTAACCCTTTCCGGATGGCATTCCAGTCTGCTGCCTGGTCATTATGAGAAGGAGTGCTGAGCTTCCATGATGTCACCACTAACAAAAAAAAAAAAAAAACAAAAAAAAAAAAAAAAAAAAAAAAAAAAAAAAAAAAAAAAAAAAAAAAAAAAAAAAAAAAAACTAAAAAAAAAAAAAAAAAAAAAAAAAAAACAAAAAAAAAAAAAAAAAAAAAAAAAAAAAAAAAAAAAAAAAAAAAAAAAAAATGACAGTGGGTGCTCGCTCTCTAAACCTAATTTTGCTAAAAAATTCGGCAAAAATACATTTTTGTTCCAATTAACTCTTTTTTATATATATATATATATTAAAGAAAATGCATTTAACTTTATGCTTGGTGAATTATAAAATTAAATATGTATAACGTTAGCAGTTGTAATCATATATATAGACAACGAAAGAGAAATTTTAAAACAAGCTTTCAGCATTTGTTAAATTGCAATTAAAATATTTAATATAAAGTAGCAAACCTACACAGGCACAATACATATATACATTTACAGTGGCATTTAAAAATTGTTTTTTTATGTGGTACAGTACAAAGTCTGTAATCCGGACTCGTCGGAACTTCGGCGATTCCAGATTGAGGGTTTTTCCGGATTATAGATGATCAATTTAAATCTGGTAAGATGGCATGCAGAAATTATACAATTAAAAATATGAAACCATAATTTATGAAATAAAGAGCAATTATGATCTAAAGGGTATCAAAATTTACAAAAAAAAAAAAAAAGAAAGAAGCTTAATATTTATTTGTTTACTTTATTAAACATTTCTTTCAATGTAAGTTGTTTAAGTTGCTTCATTTTTTTTTGTGCTAAACGCACATGCGTAGCATTAAATGCACATGCGTAAAGCATACAAAAAAATTTTAGGGGATTTGAGGTCCAGATTATAGATCATTTCGGATAATGGACGTCCAGATTACAGACTTTGTACTGTATATTCTGAAGGATGGATCCATGCAGAGTCCTACATTACAATCTATACTCAAAGCAAAATGTTTTTCATGAAGCTTGCTTCATCTACATAGTTTGAGAACAAACAATTTTCGTTTTTCCCATTAAGTGGTGGAAGAAAATGCCTTTCTGAAAGGCAAAATGTATTGATGCAGCTACTGCCCAAAGTTCACTTTCTGTTCTTGACATGACCCTCTCCATAGTTTGTTCAGTTACTTCAATCGAAATTGAAGTAATGGTCTCTTTTGTACAATTATTACATTGTATAAATGCATGGACATTATAGATCTTAATATTGAGATGTCCAAAAAACAATTTCTTATACCGTTTGAAAGTAAGTAGTGACTGCATCTTTAATATCCAGTCTTCCCATACTTTTGTTGTACTGCAATATCCAGTTTGATTTCTCAATACTTTCTCCCATTTTGTAGTTTTGTTTATTGCTGAAGCCACTTATACTGCTGCTACTGAGATCTTGTAATAAAGCTGTGTAGTCAGCTCTCTATAAACATTGCTTTCATTTTCATATCTTAAAGGGGGGGGAAACCCTCGAAAAATTTACATTCACAAAAGAAAAAAAGAGACCCTACTCTACATACGAAAGGAAAAAATTCTGAGTAACTTGTGATTTGAAATTTTTTCATTTTCATTTGCCTCTCTGTCACTTTCTTCACTATTGGTAGTGGTATTTTGGGATCTAGAGCCATACTACAGAGCCATTCATTGATTGATAATTGTGGTATTGTCATCTCAGTGAAAACTTCTTTTATATCATCTTCATTTATTACTGCTTTTCCACATTTCTTTACAAAATCCATTAGTTGGAAAATTCACATTTGGTCTGTGATATCCTAAAAACCTTCGAATTCATGGCTATCATTTTCATCATCCTCATCATGAAATATAGTAGGCCATAAATTGTGCCAAATATTTTTTATGTATCTGGAGACACATCCTCCCACAATTTTGCAATGTTCCACGCAGCAGATGTTATGCTAAAACATTTCAAAAATTCCTGAATAGTCTTGCCATTATTCAAGAAATTTAACATGGACTTAAAAAATGCTACTTTATATTTGCATTTCTATGCGTGCTCTATTCCGATATTTATAGACTGAATGATTGATGTACAGTTTGGAGGAAAGAATAATACGGATACATTATCTTTTGCTAAAACTTTAAATGAAGCATGAGCTATACAGTTGTCTACAATCTGGTCAATTTTTGCATCATGAGGTAAACCAACCGAATTCATATGTTGCTGAGCCTCGGGTATGAAATGATTTCCAAACCAGTCATTTATGAACGCTTGTGTCATCCATACTCTTTTACTTGCATGATATACAGCATGTTTCAAAAAGATTATGTGTATTTCGAATGCATATATTTATTAAACTATTTGACATACGGATATGGAACTGTACACACATATGTACAAACCTCTCAAGTTCAGGTTACAGATGTTCAATGTGTCCTCCATCAGTGACACGTATAATATCACATCTATACTCAAATTCCTCCCATACTCGGGCAAGCATGTCCGTCGTCACAAATGTTATGACAGTACGGATCCGGTTCTTCACCTCTTCCAGGTTCTGTGGGAGTACATAAACGTTGTCTTTAATGAAACCTTACAGGAAGGAGTCGCAGTGTGTCAGATCCAGTGACCATGGAGGCCAGCTGAGACGTGTTGGAAAATATAGCTTATTTTATACCTTTTACTGCATCATCTCTCCTCCTTGAAATGTTTATTTAGTTTAGTTCTTATTTTAATGTAATATAGTAGTTACTTCTTCTTTTTTTTGCTGCCACTGTTTGCATGAGAACGTACTGTTTCAACCTAATTGAGATGCAAAAATGAAACCTGATGTTACGTCATCTGAAAAGCCGATTCGTGCCGATAGCTGATTGGTTACCATGAGATGACTTCATTCCTACTTCTGATATAAGTATCTCGCGTCGCTCTGGCTCAACCCTTCTAGTTCCTGCTTTCCTGGCACTTGAGTGAGCGGTTTCCAGCCCCTTCAGAAGGATGCATGCAGTCCGGTGAATAAAGTGCCTTGGTTCCGGTTTGCGGGATGGCTGTTCCTGAATAAAGTTCCTTGGTGCCTGTCCGTGGGATGGTTGTTCCGGAATGCGGTTCCTTGGTTCATGTCCACAAGATTATTGTTCCGGAATAAATTCCTTGGTTCCAGAGGCTACCATGTGAGTGACTGCCATGGGCAGCATCCATGTTCTTCAATAAAGGCGGCATTTAAAATATGTGAGCGGCGATTCCTCATGCAAACGGAGTTAGGCCGGTTTTAAGTGCTTTCAAGAACTTCATTTAAATTTTCAGGTGTTTTCTCAACCATTGATCATGGACGTTTTGAATGTGTAGCCAACTTCATTTTTAGGCCGCATAATTAATGTTTAGGACGTTTTTGTTTGTATTGAATGCCAGTCAGTGTTTTGGAGACCAGGTAAAAATATGATATTGATAAATGATGGTTATATTATGTTTTTCCTAAGACTCTGATATTGTTGAAATTTATTTTCTGTGTTTTTATTCTTTATTATATTGTTAATAAATTGGTTAAGTTCAAAGCCTTTTATTGTCTTCAATGTCTGCACAACATGATATCTCAGGGAGCTTTTATTGCTACTACTGCTAAATGTTTAATTTTTTTTCAAAATTTAAACTTTGCTTTAGCATCAACATGCTAAGTCATCAGCTCCTTGACGACCAATCCAACGGTTCGGTAGAGTTTCATTCTGATAATCACGCACTTGGCGACACCAGTGAGGGGGGTGCCCCGTCTTGTTGAAAAATAAAGTTGTCTTAGTGCAGCCTCGGAAACAACCAGTTTTGTAATATAGCGAGATACTGCTGACCATTAACCGTGTTTCCATCAAAGAAAAATGTGCTGTAAACAGATGATCGAGATATCGCACAAAACACATTGATTTTGGGCTAACCTTGTACATATTCAATGGCTGCATGTGGGTTCTGTGAGCCCCAAATTCTAACACTGTGTTTGTTTACATGACCACTAACATGAAAAGTCGCTTTATCACTGAACATGATGCATTGTGCGAAAGTGTTATCACAGTCAGTAGCATCAATAATCTCGTTACAGAATTCCACACATTTGCGTTTGTCACCAGGACGCAGAGCCTGTAACAAATGTAACTTGTACGGCTTCATAACCAACCAACGTCTCAAAACAAGCCAAATTGCTGTAGGCAGTTGTAACTCCCAACTGGCATGACGAGTTGCTTATGAAGGACTACGTTGGAAAGCAGTTTGAATTTGTGCAACATTTTCATTGGGAATAGGAGGAAGGCCAGGACTTTTCTTTACAT